CATGTAACTATTCTTTGTATTGTTTACCCATGTAACTATTATCAATGTATATCTTTGTATTGTTTACCCATGTAACTATTATCAATGTATAGTCATATGTATTTGCTTGACTTGATTGTTATTATGCTTAACAGTTTGAGTTATCTCACTGGAAGCAGCTGGCTCACAGGAGTCTAGCTTTTTGTTTAAGAGACAAATTATTATTATTATTGTGGCTACTGTTGGACAGTGATTATGTGACAGGTTTGTATTCCACACACCATCACTTTGTCTTGTTGGTCTGCATGCACTTGTCCACTTCTGAATATGTTTTGTTTGTGCTCTACATGACCCTGAACGTCAGCATTATCTGACTGTTTCATTGGTCTGTACAGATTTGTCTGAGGTTGTCAGACGTTTGATTGAAATGACTATTCAGCTCACAGATTTCGTTTTTTTTTTTTTACATGTTAAACTTACCAATCTTGTCAAACTGACACGATTTGGGTTTATATTTTTAATTTCATTAAACAGTTTAGACATAGGGCTGGCTTGTCTCCCTCTGCCAAGTCATGTACTACTAAAGACTTGTGCCCTTTTATGGTATTAGACGACGAATTGGGAGGCCTCCCAGTGGGGGACTTTTGTCCCCTGCCGTTTGACTCGTTTTATAAGATGCATGCAGGGCTAAGATGGCCAATTTATGAATATGTTGGGGTTATCGGCTAGGAAAACAGGTTAGGTTGCGCGTTTAGGGTCTTTAATAGAAAATGTACTTGGCAAAGAGACAACCCAAGACTCAAAGATTAGAATAATATGTACAACTAAAAATGTTTTGACAAATTCTTTGGGCTGAATACCAGAAGATAAACAGACTGTTATGTACCTTGTAGTTTAATTTGAAAATTGGTGTAACTGAAAATATTTTCTTTGACAGGCAGGGCACCTGGGTGATGGTATTCACTTAATGCAGTGTTAATTTAATTAACTGATGTTTGATCTGGGCTAATTGTATAGAAGTGTTCTGTGGACAATGTAGGTGGATGGTGTAGGGGGATAGATGGTGTAGGCTTTACTCAAGCTGTCCTGACTGACTGGTTGGGGTAAGATCAGTCAGTTAAACAGGTAAGACCCCGGTAGTTCCAGTCCCAGAGGTGTTGGTGCTGGATCCTGCTCTGGAAATCTGGTGTCCTGGACTGCAGTGCGAGGATGGCCTAGGTGAACTCTAAATCTTCAGTAGCAAGATCTTCTCAGCCACAGGATGACTTCAGGTTTGATCTTCACATTGACTTTTGATAAATCTGTTCACTTTGAAATAAACACTGACTGATCTGATTTGTGTGTCTAGGATTCTATGGGCCGGAGTGGACCAAGTATGAAGAAGTTGGAGCCTGCCTGGAGCTGAGCTGACCTGACCTGAGCTGACCTGACCTGAGCTGAGCTGAGCTGACCTGAGCTGACCTGAGCTGAGCTGATCAGAAGGATTTAGTTTCTAAAGGTTTTAATTTTTTTTCTTCAGAAGGATTCAGTTTCTAAAGGTTTTAATTTTTTTTCTTTACAAAATGTTTTTTGTCTTGTTCTATCCTGTCTCTAGGCCACTTAAAATCATTTGCTAGTTTCTTTTGTCATATCTACCCCACTATAGAACCCACACTGTCATTTGCAGAGATTTTTGCTGCTGCTGCACGGTCTACCTTGGATGTGTCATCTTAGGGCAGTGGTGTTCCTGGGTTCTATACTGTCTGTTCACACAGCAGACCAAAGTTTATACCTGAACTGGAATGGACCCTCACAGCTATGAGTAAGTCTTCACTGATGGAGTTCTATCTCCTTATGATTGGCACTTTCAGATCACGCCCTCTCTTTCAAAATGCAAAATCTTCTTTTTATTATGTCTATATGTATATATTTTTTTTTTCTCCTCACGTCCTGTTAGCAGACATTGGACTGGACCCTGGCAAGAACACGTGTACAAGACAACTATAGTGAGAAGCAGAAGCAGCAAGTTCCCAGTGAAACGCACCATTAAATGGATACAGTAGGTCGGTCCCTCTCAGGTATGTTTGCTTATGATTCTATATCTGAATATCTAATTCTTATCTTTGATCCAATAGACCTGCAGCTTGGAGCTTGGAGAGTGTACTTCCTGATCCAGGTGACTGCCGCCAAGATAATCCGGACCTACCTCGTTGCTACTGGGTTGCCTTAAGGTTCTTGCTAAATTTTAATCCTTGTTGTGGACAGTTTTGTTGTTGTGTAGGAAATTCACTTGACTCATTCATGTTCAGGTCCTGGTTCCCAAGGTCCCTGACTCACCACAGCTGCCAGAAGTTTCCATTGAAACCCCTGCTTGCCTTTACATGGCTTTTTATTTTGTTTGTTTATTTATTTATTTATTTATTTATTTATTTATTTATTTAATGTTGACCGTTGACAAAATGGCATGTCATTTCATGGATATTCTAAGATTTAGTCTTTGGTCACTGATGAATTAAACTCCACGCTTGATCTAGATTTATTGCTGCCTTGCATTAGTTTACAATCAGTCAGAATTTGAGCTGGATTTCTTTTCCTTCACACTACTAATAACTAACAACTACTAACAACACCACCCCACTCCACTGTCCTCCCCCTTCTTTTTGGTGCTTAAATCCAGTCACGAATTCTTACTGAGAGCTGTACCGTGGATGCAGGTTCCAAAATCAGACCTGGATCCATCTGGTTTTGTGACCTAACCCATCCATGGTACAACATTATCCTCTAGATAAGCTACCTACCAGTCAGCGTGAAGCCTTTTAAAACAGGCTAAATGAAGAACTGGTTTTTGATCAAGCGGTTGAAGTTATTTCATCAGTGGGCTTTTGGCCACATCTAGGACTATGCATGAGAAGCCATGTTGATTTAGTTAACGGTTGACTTGTTTGTTTAAGTTTGGGATTGAGGTCTGTAGTAGTCCTCTTCTCTTTTTTTAAAAAATTTTAATTTATTTTTTTGGGTGGGGTTTTTATTTATTTATTTTGGGTCCAGGCAATCTCTGGAACATAACATAGATATTGGGTGGGCTTTTTATTTATTTATTTTGGGTTGAGGCAATCTCTGGAACATAACATAGATAACAGTGATTAGTTAAGTAGTTTAACAGTCGAAATTAAAATAGTGTTTACATTTTATTCAGGGAAATTACAACTAGACAGTGTTCCTGATTGCTTTATAAACAGAATTGGCAGCAACTAGTTACTGGTTTCCCCACTCTGCCCAAGTTTACATTTTCAAATTGAATAATAATTTGGCAGAGCTTTATTCAGTTTTGTGATAAACTGGCCACTTCTGAGTTTCTTTAACTTGTGTATGTGTAACCGTTGTTACAGTTTGTTCCCAGGCCGAGCAATATTTAGCAGGGTTTCAACTACTGTGGGTAATTATACATGTTGTTTTCTTTTGGTTATTGTTTTTTTTTTTTTAAAGCTCTAACAATTTACTGTTGTGTCGTAAGCAAAGTCATAGATGACTTGATTAGCTTTGTTATAAGAGTTCTCAGTCCTGCATATGCTATATAAAGGTATGGTGTTTTTCTATAAAACAATTGTCACTTGTTTGTACTGTGTGTAATACAAATGTCTAAATTAAACCTACAACACTTTTAAAACATGTTCACATCAGTTTGTTTTCGATAGATGTTTAAGTCAAAATAAATTATTTCCCTTAACAAAACCTCCTTTAGTCCTGCTTATACATTCAGAACATATTTCTAACATAACAAAAACAAGTGCTCACCTTTTTTATTAATTGGATTCAAATCTGGTTCGTGTTTTCTTCTGCTTTTTGTCACAACCTGCTGTGTTGAAACGAAGGGTGTGTCCTGAAGTGTAGAGGACAATGGGGGTTAAAAAAGTGTTGATAAATGTCTGCTTATGTGATTGTTAAATATAACATTGAAAAATTGGTCACATTTTAAAATAAAAAAAAAAGAATCTATAGATTTATGACTATGTAAAAAAAAAAATCTTAGTGTTACAGTTTACATGTTATAACAGTTATAAACTTTATGTATCAGTCTTTAAACTTTACATGTTAGCATTTAAATTGTACATGGTGAGACTTATAAGACATGTTATGATCGATTTCCTGTCTGGTTGTGCTTTGGCCAAGATGTCAGTGCGTGGACCAAAAAATGTTACGTTTTTAAAGTAGAGTGAATGACTATTTAATATGCAATTATATAATAAATGGCCATTTAAAGAACAAATCATGCTGATAGATTAAAGATACAACTGCTGGTGTTACTGACATTAGATGAGGCAACTGAAATACAGGGGCGATGGGGGATCAGCCTCAACCCTGTTTAAATAAAATCAAAAGGTCGCTGGTCGGTTATAAGAGAGCAAAGTCACATTAAAGCATGATGTCTTCTAAAGGTTAACATAGAAGACTGTAAAGGTCACACCTGTATCTGAGCGTGAGTGTGACAACGCTTTGACATGAAGACTAAATATATGTGCGTGTATATAGGTCTGTGTGTATATGTCATCTTAATGCCAGGAAACATTTTTAAAAGGCTAGGCTCATATTTTATTGCCTGAAAAGAACACCGTGTTCTTTAAAGAACAATTTAAACAAGTTCTACAAAATTAATTTCCTAAATTACCTAAAAAAACATATATATTTATATCAATACACTACACAAAAGATAAGATAAACATTCACATTACCTAAAAAAAAATATATTTATATCAATTCACTACACAAAAGATAAGATAAACATTCTCAGAGGTTACTGAATTAGCAGGTTAACTGGTTGTGGGGATTGCTGATCTAGTTGTGTGGAAATATTTATTCAGATCAGCAGATCAAATCACACTGTCATTTTGCCTTCCATTGATGTTAATCCTTAACAGAGTGTTGCATTAATATGAACTGTGTATATTTTTCAGGCGTCTCGATCATTTTATCCTAAGAATATTTGGAAGTAATCACTCCAGTGTTTTTCTGATCCTCTCAGCCTCAGTGAGAAAATGTATTTTTCAAGAGACTCTTGTTGTCGATATGCAGCATAGGTATGTTTTAAATGTCTTAGCTTGCACTGGAGAATAGTGAACACAAGCAGTGTATGTTTGTGGACAACCAGGTGATGAAAGTGACAGAATAGGTTGCTTAAGGATGACGGTGATCCTGTGTTCGTTGGTTCTTGTTACCTGCTGCATGCCAGAGTGTAGTGCCTGCCTGTCAGTGATAACAGATGAGCAGGGACTCTCAGAGCAGCAGCTGAGCTATAGGAGGGTTGGTTAAATGTTGTTTTTTTGTTGTTTTTTTTTAAGCTTAGGGAGACCGATTGAGCTGAGTCTCATGCTGCAGCTGTGGGGAGTGGAGCAGCTGGTTCACAGTGTTTCACTGTCAGTGAGTCAGAGGTCATAATGATGGTGGACCTGGTTTGTCAGTTCCATCATTTCTGGCTTGACAACATGTGGGTGGCATTGAAGTGTGATCAAGATGAAGTAGAGGAAAATGATTAAGGTGCAGTGAACCTCTGGAGAGATTTCTCCTCACCGTAAGCTGTTTCAGATTGAATTTCTATACATTTTGAGAAGCTTTTTTTAACACAGTTTATAAATGTACTTTAACTTTCCATTGATACTTAGCATATCACATTAAAAATGCATTATTTTGTATTCATGGTTTTATTCAAACATGGGAACGAAATATTAAAAAAAGAAGTGATATCCTAATTAAACAAACATGTCATTATCCTCCTGCAGTACCTCGTTAGACCCACTAGGGGTCACATCCCAGTTTAGGAGATGATGTGCTCTGTGGTCTCAAAACAATAATATGCTAACGTTGACCAGACAAAATGTATTGGAAATGTTTTGGGTTTTCTAACTTAGTGCAAGGTCACAGTGTGGTACAATTTAAAAAAATGATGCACCTGTGGCCTAAATCGAAACAGTAAAGATGAGCTCTGATATCACTCTCATTTTCCCTTTCCTTTCACTTTCCTCTGCTGTTTGTCTCTAGCTATAATGACACACAGTTGTGTCTGTTCTTTCGTTCCTCCTGTTGATCAGTTTGTCTGCCTGCCCTGTGTGTCAGTCAGGCTGGATGTCTGTCAGAGCTTACAGTGTCTACAAGGAAAATAAACCATCTGTCCTGGGTCCTGCAGACAGACACAACATCAGCAATACAGTAGGGACACTTCCTTTTCAACTGCTGTCTTCCTTTGATGTGGAAGACACACACACGTACACACACACACCGACGAGCGTCTCATGTTTTCAGCCCTTCTTTTGCACACATGAAACTATACCTTTGCCCATATTTTATCCATATGTGGTCACAGCACCACTGGCTTTCCTCTGCTCCACAGGGACAGGGTGAATTTGCACAAATCAGCTACAAAACTCTCTGTTCCTTAACAGAGAGTTTTGTAGCTGATTTGAAGGAGCAACCTGTGCTTTCTACACTTTTACAATTTACTGCCTCACTGATTCACTTTCTGAAACACTCATCTAACACACAAGCACATACCAAAGGACAGATCAACTTCCACTGTAGCTGTGATGGAAACATTTCATCTTTTCAAATGTGCATTTCCATAACATTGGAACAGTTGGCTGGTACAATACAGAGCTCTTCTCTTGCTGGGGATACTTGTTGTCTTTTGTTTTTGACCCACTTGACCTGAACCAGAATCCCTCTTTAGAGCCCTGGGACATTCCACTCTATGAACAGAATCCTCAGTGAACGTGGTTCTAACGTCTCCTCCTCCTCCTCCTCCTTCTGAGCATACAGTAATGAACTCTAATACTGCAGTGGTTGACCCCCATTTATACTGTTTCCAACTGTCTTTTCTGTGCACCACAGAGAACGAGGAAGTGCAGCACAGGGAGTGAGGCTGAAGCACACAGTGCCAGGAAAATGATAGAGACAGAGATTGAAGCCCTTGGACTCTACTTGCCCTATGCTATGTTTTAATAATGGACGAGGTTAAGGCGCAAGTGGAAGAAGAATGAAGGGAAATGTGTCTCTTCAGGTTCTCGGCTCCAGCCCAGCATTGATCCACCTCTGGAGAGAGCAGAGCTTATTATCTTGAAGATTACTTTCCAAGCTTCTACCCCCACCCTCCCACCACCCTTTAGCCAACCACCATAAAAATGGACTGAATGCCTTGCAGCATTCGCAGCCAGAAGTCCAACCAGAATAGAGTGTGGATGTTGGCCTCAACCAAGCCCAGCATCTAATTCCCACTAAGTCTCCCTTTGCTGACCTCCATTGTCTCTCTATTTTAACTCCACCGTAGAGGTCGCTCCTCTCTCTCTAACTGAAGCAGATTTGTTTCCTGACACAGTTTTATATATGTTTTTCAAATGCCAGTGAGCAGAAGTCATAAGAGACGAGAACAAGTAACCTGTTTGAGTAACATAAAAAACATAAACACCGAAGCAAATGTTTCATTAATGTTTTAGCGGGTTCATTAATTATGCATAGTTTACAGTTATATTTGTACTCCTGGGATGACATACACACACCATGTTCATGAGCAGACATCGCTGTTGAATTTACAGTAGATTATTTATATTCTTTCTGGTCGATTGAATTCCACTGGCCAGTCTTTTAAAGAGAAAAAAAATATTCAGAAATTAAACAGATCAGAGACAAGAGTTGGTCTAAACAACTCTCTGAGCTGGCTATAATATTTACATCATAAGATTCCAATTACAATACATTTTCTGTGTAATCGTAATAGAGTGTTTCTGAGCTCTATAGTGCGGCAGCAGCACGGTCTTCCTCAACACTCAGGAGACTCTCTCTCCAGCACTGGTTCACTGGTTGCCTCTATCTGATACTGTTAATGAGAAACCAATCTCTTCTCCTTTAATTTCTTGCCTTCACCTTTACCTGCCTTTTAGCTGCCTTAAAACCTGGCTCTGTCCTGCATCTGGAATTCCATTTAGTGACTAAAAAGGTGCCAAAGATTTACTTTGGTATTTGCACCATTTCCAATTCTTGTACTGCTCAAAATATACACAGACTAAACTTGGCAAAAGTGACATGGGTTTCGGATGTAAACTGATATCTTATCAGGATCATCTTATCTGGAATCACACAATCTTCACAGTAGGAATTGAAACCTGAGATGTTCACGGTGCCGTTTCTTTGGTGTGGACCTCTTACAGTGGCTTTCCAAACACATTTCTGACATTATTCTCACCTGTCAAATCGTTTCTTTCTAAGCTAATTTTAAATCATGGGACATCATCTTTTTCATTTTGTTGCTCTATTATAGCTGTGAAGATGTTTTAAATTTATATTCTCAATTCCTGCCTTGAAACATTATTTATTGTGGTTGGGTTAAGACTTAAGTTTTTTTTTTCTTTCATGGCTGATTTTTCAATTCACATTTTTCTAATCATATTTAAAAAGGTATTTCAACTCAGCAGTGCAAAGAACAAAATGAGCTTTGTCTGTATGTGTCCTTCTCTAAGCTGGGCCAATTGATTCTCTGTCAGGGTTATGTTCCTTCCAAGATACTGATCAATAGATCATGATTGATCTCCAATTGACTGAGGCCCAGTTTGCAAGAACAACCTTTAGCACTGACCTTGTCTTAAACAACCCTTAAAGACGTTTAATACTCTTAGACAAGATATTTTTCAATAAAAAATAAATAAAAGTGTTACCTCGTTCAAAGCTAAGAACCTTACAATTCAAACTGAATAGGACTCAAGATCCTTCGGAACAAAGGATGCATTTGAATAGGCTGACATGTGATCCTGCACATGCCTCAGTATTAAGTCTGCTCCTTCTCTTTGGTTATTGGAAAGGATGCATTTGAATAGGCTGAGGATGATCTCAAACATCTTATTACATCTTACTTATACATAATACTGTAAGATAAATGTGATCCTGCACATGCCTCAGTAATAAGTCTGCTCCTTCTCTTTGGTTATTGCCTTAGTGCCTGAGATGACATTATGGACATTTTGAATTGAGCTGAGCTGAGCTGAGCCTTGTCCTTCGGCAGCAGCCTGGTCATTGCATGAAAGTAAGGTGTTTGTAGTTTGTCAGCAGGGACACACTGGACCGACAGAAAGACGCTTGGTTGTTGTGAGGTGGACAAAAAAGTGGAAGATGAGGCAAAAGGGATCTGTTGCTCTGCCGTGCTCTGACCTTCAAAAGGCCTTGAGCAGACGGTAAGAACCTGACAGCCAGCTACTCACCGTCTCCTATGTTGTGTGCTTTATTTATTTATTTATTTAATTTATTTTAAGCCCACAAAAGCACTCAGGAGTCTAAGAACACAACAATATTAACTTTCCGCTCCTCCGTTCCACAACAGCACTTGTGTGTCGATCCGCTCTTTTTGCTCAAGAGAATAATAATGACATTGAAAACACCAGTTTGTAACTTTTTTAGAGCTTCAAGATTTATAAAATTTTGTTAGCACACACACACACACAGAATAATAATGCCCAGTATCATATTGTATCATTTTAATCTCGAAAAGAGCTGATGATAATAATAATAAAACAAAACCCAAAAAATCTAAAAAGCCAAATTGTCAAATTAGAAGAATAATGTTCTAACGTTCACAGGGTATAACTTGCAATCTAGAGAATGTGTTATTTCTCATCTAGCCCTTTGGATAAAACAGACAAAGCATTCATTGTTTTTGTTGCACTGTTTAGCTTGATTTTGACCAAATGACAAAGAATTATTGCACGATATATTTCTTAGATTCTTCAGATTCCTTTTAAAATATTAACATCAGTATCCATTCCTTTTGTACCACTGAGCCCGGGCAATAACATCATTGGAGTAGTCTCCCCCTGTCGTGTATTCATCCACGTTTGTAGAGGTCACCCTTTGGTCCCCAGCATTATAGGCAGCAATTCCTCCTGTAAGGTCAGACATTTATGAGGAAGAAACAGGAAGTGAAAAGAATGGACCAATCACAAAGTCTCACAAAACTGAAACAAACCTTTGAGTTTTTGCTCTTGGCTCCAAGGGAATTTAGCACTGATGGTTTTGATGAAATGAACCAAGATCTCAGTGCCTTGCTCGATGTGTTCCTTGCTATTCCATTCACCTCTGGCAGTGTGTCCGCCCCCTCTCGGATTGATATCCACCTACAGGTGTCGTTTAATGAAGCTTAGTCGCATGTTATGACATTGTAGCGGTTAAGATAATTGTATCTGAAAAAAAGATTGTGTAACTACCTGCATCAGTCCGAAGGCATTCCCTCCATCGCCATATCCTCCGCTGAGACAATTCCCAGCCCTGGACTCTCTGGAGATGATGGCAGCGATCAGAGCTGGCTCAACTCCATATTTTCTTCCCACTTCCTTAATTATTGCCTTGTACCTTTCCATTCTTTGAAGGTCAGTTTTGGCCATGGTGTGTGATGCTTCAACACCTGCGTCAGTAAACCATTTGACTGAGTCAGCTTCTTTAGTTAACATGTAACAAATCCAACCTCAATAAACAATGAGAAAGGTTTAGTTTTTACTTTTCAAACTCGGCTTCTGTTGTCTAGGTACACTCTCCAGAGTTTTGGTCACATTTAGTTGTAAAGTTATATGTTATGATCACCTCACTTTTTCAGTCCAAGCATATATATCGGGGAGGGAATGCAGGACATTTCTACTACTAACTAATGTAAAACATACAACTAATAATTATCTCTTCTCTTTCTTCTTAGAATTAAACACAAATGTTGTCTATACCTCATGCATTTCCAGACCTACCACCTTCTTGCATGTCATAGACCAGTGGTTCTCAACCTTTTTCTCCTCTGTTCCACCTGTGAAAACATGGAGCTCTCTGAGTCCCACCATGATGACCAACATTAGAATATAGCAGCAGAGGCCTTCACTGTTAGCTTCCACCACAGGAGAGATGTTTAGAAATGTTTATGTTTAAATGTTGTATTTACTGTGCATGGTATGTTTCAGATTTACTTATGTGAAAATATGAATCTTCCCCACGTACCACTAGAGAGCGCTTACGTCCCACCGGTGGTACGCGTACCACAGTTTGAGAACCACTGTATTAGAGGATTGGTAGTGATTTAATAGGTGCCCAGTTATTCAGTTTAAGAATGTTTGCTCCTGTCAACAACAACACTTGTGTGTTTTTGGTTGGTTTTGAATCATGACCATTATCTTTTCCAGTATTTACCAGCGCTCAGTCTGTCCTGTCTAGCAGTTACTGCAGAAGCTCCAGAAGTTTCCACATCTAAGACACTTCCATAACCTGAAAAGACATAATGCAGATTTACACATTTTCCTACACACATCAGCATGTTGACTGTACTACATTAAACAGCACTTGTGTTTAGGTTAAGTATTAGCTGTAAGAAAACCTACCCATGGTTCTTGACTTGCAGTCCCGAAGTTGAAAACAAATGGTCTCTGAGTTGTGCTCTGAGTTGTGCTCTGCTTCTCTCTATTTATATGTGCTGCTGGTTTTACCTTCACTTTCATTTTGACTGGAAAGTTCTGTGTGCACACAGACAGTGTACGCAAGACAAAGGAAAGTAGAGAGAGAAAAAGTCAGAATGAAACTGAAACCAAAAGTAAAAGAAAAAGGGCGATGCAGTCACATGGTTGTATCAAACTGAAATGATGAGGTCTCTGTCTTTGATCCGGTGAGAATATCCTTCACTGAAACATTTTTAATGAACCCAAGCCTGACATCACAGAACAATGAAGCAAGGCTACATTAAAAACCTATATATTTGGGATTTAAAAATAGACCTTCTACTGTATTAAGTAATAAGCTATTGAAAAAAAAGACACAATTTAGAAATGAAGGTAAACGTCTTAGGAAGATTCTGACGTCCTTAAACATCCTGTTGACATTTTAATGTAAAATGTATGAAGCAGACCGTATTTGCAGCGGATAAGCAGAACAGAGAGGGGAGTGCTGTTGTATCCGTCCCTGTCTGTCAGTAGAACAGGTCCAGAGGACAGAAGGGACAACACAGCACACGAAGAAGAAAGACAGTGAAACTCATAAAAAATGCATGCTTGTTTCATTTCTCGGGGGACCTCCAGTAATTGCCCAGCTCAGCCTCGGCGAATTAGAGACTAATTGAGGACCTTGTAATTATGAGGGCTCATACATAGTGAGCAGAGGCAGACATTCCAGGATGCATCTCCAGCGACTGAATGTCTTCTGACAGTTTAAGCGTCTCTACTGAGACAGCAGGAGAGGACGACTCCTTCAGTCAGCCTTACTGCCGTGAGCTTGACAGGCGTTATCTTTCCTGAAACTACATGTGGCACCTTGGCTATTGAAATGCAAATTTGAAAAGCACCACAGGGGTGGCAAACATCAGCATGTTTCTCATAAGAGCTCTTGGATCTTGGAGGCTGAAGGATCGTGATATCATCTCAGCCAACTGTGCTCAGCCTCAGTGAGAGTGGGATTTAATGTTATTCAGTGGACCAGGAGAAACACCTAACAAAAACAAGTCAGTGTGAATCTCCCTGTGATGTGAAAACAATGGTTTCTGAAGTACAGGACTGTTAAAACAAACAAACATTTTGGTCTTGGCCCTCAGCTATTGAAAATGACTGTTAAGATGAAATGAAGTGGCTTTTATACCGGTGCAGATGCTCGCTGCTCATTTCTCATAGAGTATTACGTAATTATGCAGATTGACAATTAACAAGTTACAATCATCTGAAGAAACTCTGCAGTAATATCCTCCTGCCTCGCCTTCTCCACAAGATTGGTGCGTGATGAATTATTCAGGATGTGTGAGTGCGCGGTCGTGTATGTGTGTGTATGCCTAAATTATAGGAGGAGGAGATGATGACTGAATAAGGCAGAGAACCGTCATTGTAGTCTTCCTGATGTGAGAGGAGGGACTTAACATATTCAAACCTAGCCTTTTATTGAGTGCACAGAAACACAGCGATGATTGATTGCATTTGTGGATCAATGTTGGCACGTGTGCCAACGTACAGGCCGCATCTTGTGCGATTTTGTTACCAACCAGATGTGTGACAGTGACAGAGGGTGGAAGTGAGTGTGTCTGTGTGTAATAAGGATTTCTTGTTATTGTGGCACTCATATCGACCTTCACGTCGTCCCCGGTGAAGGATGCTGGGGGTGGAGGCAGACAGGAGGAAACTGGTTTCCAGGGAAGGACAAGGCAACAGATTCTTTAGGCAGCACCTATTCACATGACAAGCAGCAGGGTGATACACAGAGAGATAAATATGGTTACAATGTTTAGTTCCCATTGACAGGAAATGTGCATGCTACTGTCAGTTTGGGCTTCACTGAAAAAGCCCTGGTCTATGTAAAAAAAAGGCAAGATTAGAGAATCGGTTCTTTCATAGAGAACCTAGACTTTATTACTAACAAAGAGACGTACTGTACATGGCGTCAATGTTTTCAATGATTGACACAATTCTGTTCATCAAAGAAAATTGACACTAGTAACAGATCAGCTGGGATTCAAAACTAAAATTTAAATTTAAGTAATTATTTTTTCCTGTTGTCCTTTTGTGTTTAACAATAGTGCATTTTGTTTTCTGGAAATGAGGTTTGAATATAATCTGCATGCAATTGAATTGTTTGTATTGGATTGGTTCTATGTTTATTTGCAGCAGCTCCTATAATTCCAAAAATATTTCTCAACTATCACTAATAATTATTCTAATTAATCACCACGTACAATCTTAAACAACTGCATTCTTTCACTTTCATGAATGTAAATTAAAAAAAAATATATTTATTTGAACTTGCACACCTTGATTGATGGCTGTGATCACGTGGCTGTACAAGTGACAGCTGCTGAAATGCCTCTGGGGTCACAAGAAATGTGTCAATTTGTCATTTCAAAATGGGCTCACAAGCCAAACTAGGTTAGGAACCACTGACCTACAGATTTAATCTCAGATTTAATCTTAAAAATATATATGTTGCTAATATGTTAGCCCAAACAGCTCCCATAAGATAACCTTAGCTGCTCTACTGTAGACAACGTTGGCACCAAATCGATGACAACATCGGTTTGGTTCGTGTGCAGTCTTTAAACTCCAGGTGTAGGGGGTTGAGCTGATTCCAAGGATGTAGGATGGAGGCAGGGGCCACGGTGAGCTGCTTCTCAGGGGAGTGTTGACAAATCCCTCCATATTGATTGGCTGTAGGATCTTCTAGACACGTGTCCAAACTGATATCCCCAAAGCCTGGGTGAAGGGCTACAAGACTACGAGCGGGAAGAGACGTCAGCGGTATGAAGTGTTGTGACAAAGACTCATGTACTGCACAGAGATAGAGAGACTGCGCTATTGCTACAGCACAAGGTGCAATGTGCAGTACCGCATGACCGATTGCACCGTGAGAGCTGATGGCTGTTGCAAGTGGGTTATTTATGTGTGTCAGCTTATGGGTGTGTGCAGCAGGGTGTGTGTTTTTCCTCAGAGTGCTCAGGTTTGGAGGTTAATCATTTATTTGTGATGTTTGTGAAGGTTAAGGTTATTTTTAAAAGGATAGGACATATATTACACCATTTCCTCAATATGATGACAAGACAAGCGAGCATGACAGTGTGCCTCCCATCTGTCCAGTGTGAAATGGAGGTTTCTTTTTATTGACGTGACAAAAAAAAAAGCATCTTCGTCAGCAGGCCTCGGCCAGACAGTCGATCACTAACGATGACCTGGAGGCTCTTTCTTTCTCCCCGGTTCGATACACAAGCGCACGCATACAGAATGCAGAAGTGACTATGAAACATACGAAAGATTCAAGAATACCATCCAAAACTGTGTGCTTTGAATTTAAACACTTACTGGACCACATGTTTGACCAATAAAATGAAGAACAGAGATTAGCTCATGTGTTTTTAGATGTCTGTACCGGACCATTTGGTAAATTCAGCTATAAAAATGATCCCAAAAGAGTTTTGTTAATTATTTAAAACTGCAGTTTGACATTATTAATGTTATCGATGGAACAAAAGCATATGAATGGCTCTCTCTCTCTCTACAGCTTGGATTTATTGGGTGGATTTGAGGTGAACTCAATTCAGCTGCATTGAATTTGTCCAACCATTAGGTGGCACTGTTTTCTTTGCTGAGTATTTGGACAGATTTGGTGTTTCCAGTTGTGTGTATGTGTGTGTCGTCATCCATACATTACTGAGTGCACAGGCCTATAGCTCTGTGCCTATAGGCTGAGACAACAAAGGAAAAGCAGTTGTAGACTCTGTGTAATGGCTGCAGGGACGGGACAAAGGCAGGTCAGGTGCAATGATTCAAAATAAGATGGAGCCCCAGAATGTCGATTTAAAAAAAAAAAAAAAATGTAATGAAAAACATCCCAATGCATAGAGCCTGTAGTCAATATTAATACCGTATGTGTTATTCTTCTTCTTGCTGTGCTCTTAATATCATTATGTTCTGTGATTCAGTTAGTCTTCCAGTCTTCATACTAATAGATCCCTATGGTGAGCTCACTGCCATTTTATGGTCACCTATTGATCCTACAATTAGCGGTCCAGTGGGGTCCACCCACTTCATGTCCAGTTTGGAATAATGGTTATTGAGTGAGCTGTCAGTGGTAAAGGACATTGACCAGGGAGGAGCAGGTTGATGCTGGAGTTTGTGTTGGTTTTGGTAGTGTTCAGTGAACGGGGCTGGGGGCAGCAGCCTACTTGATCTTCACCTTGCCTTCACAGTGACCTGATGATTTGATAAGACAGGCCAGCAGCAGTGGTGACCTTCACCCTTGACCGACACTCCGCCCCCCTCTCTCCAGCTTAAGTTGATCGTGTTTGGTTTGAAGCCTAGATATAGGCTTGTGGTTAAGTGCAGAAATGGGTCCATCCATCCAACAGGGCCATCCATCCTTAAGGTGATGATGCAATTGAGAGCAAGCCATCATTCCGCATAATCCAATCTTGGAGCTCTACCATGGGATTAAAGGGGACCCTGAGGCCAGTTGGCTCTCTCTCTCTCTCTCTTTTTCATTGTCATTATATGTCATTTCTGTTGCCAGTGGCTCAACTGTTGTAGCCTTTTATTTTAAAATGGCATCTCAAGCTTTAAATCAAAGTCTGCTAACTTGCTTATTATAGGATTTAACCTAAAAAATGTCGTGTTTGAATGTAAAAAATGGGAACATAAAAGTTAATACACGGGGATGTCCACTCTTTTGTTATTAGCTTGAAAATAACAATAAAACAAATATGATGGAGGTGTCACTCTTCCAAACAAAACAGGATTCAGTAAAATATATCTGTTACACTCTGGATTTGATGAGGCCAGTGAAAGAGTTGGAACCCATTCTACGTGGATTCCTGAGGCTAAGGGCAGGAGGGTAATGGAGGTCAGCCCTGACAGGATTATAGGGACTGAAAAGGTATGGAGGGATGGGAAATTAGATCAGAAGTAACACACACATACACGACACACATATCTGAGTGTGTT